TTTCCCCCCCCCCCCCAATACTCTGATACATGATTTTGATTTCTTTGTCAGTCATGGTCCTAACTGACTTCCGAGAAATCTAGTGGAATCCCTGGCTGTCAGTATCGTACAACTTTGTCCAAATCCTGTACATAAGTGACAGCCAATATGTCAAGATATTTATTCAACCACATTACTTGTGTTACAAGCCAGCTAAATTGACTTTTTACCCTGTGCAGCTATAATAGCCAGTAGCTTACCAATAAACATATCGTTCATTCACTTCAATGGATATTGGGTGCTGCAAGGAAATGAAAAACATTTGATTCTGCAGTGGTAGAATCTCAGACAATGATCATGCAACATGCTACAATTTAAAGCATTTTCAAAAAATAAAATAAAAGAGGAATAGAATAAAGCATCATAGTAAGCCTTTGTTATTTATTTACCAGATCTGGTGCCAGATACAAATCAAAAGAGAACAACTCTGTTAAAGGATACTATTAAAATAAGCAATCACCTTAGTCTGTTGGTAATGTTTAAATGCATGCTCCTCAATATATCTTCCACAGGCTACATGAGAGCAGCTCAAGCAAGCCTGAAAAGACAAGATGGAATCCAGTTTAACAAAAAGACAAAATATGCCAAACTATTTTATAATGATAGAAATGTTTGAGTATATCATTATCTCATGCATGCACGTAGGTGTGAGAGTTTGTATTTTTTTTATGCACAAGAAGAAAAAAACCTTTGAGGAGATAATTCAGAAGATATATTCATTTATGTGTCATTTAGTTTAATTTTGCTGTACCTCTTCCACTCTTTCCTTACGTGTGTGCATGTATGTGCTAACGGCATACTACCGTAGTACAAATCTGTGTGTGCATGAGTATATGGCCCAAAATATACAGAAGAACTTACCCAAACACTTTCTGTAGTCCCACACTCAGCACAAAGCCATTTCTGAGGGTTAAGAATAGAATGATCCTGAGATACTTTCACTCTGTTGATATGGCGACAGCTGTCCATGGGTGCTGGAATGGACAAAAACAGTTCTCTTAATAATATTCATCACAGAAACACATGTTGAAGCAAGGGGTGTTCCTTTTCTTTCTTTCTAAATTTCTCTTCTTATTTATTCATTTATTTTCTTTTTTAATAAAGCAAATTTTGTCAAATTGTCATTATCATTAAACAGAAACTTAACATATGCCAAGCTTTGGTTCATTTAAACTCCAGTGATTTTCAAATATTGAAATTTGAGATTATACATAAAAATAATGGTCCATAGTTTCAAGCTATGATGACAAATAGTATTCATCCAAACTAAACTCCATGAGAAGTCATGCAAATTGAATTGAGAGAGTGTTTTAAGTGTTTTAAATATATAAGGTGAACATTCAGAAAAGTATTAAAACATGATCAAAATGGCTAATGCATTTTAATGGAAAACTTGTCACCAATAATTTCCCTTATGCCTTTGAAAAGCTTTCAAATGTTACATTTTATAAACTCCATCATAAAAAAAAGCAATTTATGATAAAAATCACAAGTAACACATTTCTTATTTTCTAAAAAGTCAAAATCAATATGGATCAACATTTATCGTAAGATTTTAAATCACAACCACTTAACCATTATTTCGAACTGGAATTATCGCCCAGCTTAAAACTCTCTCAAACATCGTGTGCAGCACTACTTTTATTGCACAGCATCAAACAGTTCCAATAAAATTGATTAGGCAATAACAAGGAGGATATCTCATAGATATCACACAGTGTACATTACGATCAGATAAACGCAGCACAGACAAATCAGTGTTGCACATCAGTTGCACTGCACAGAGCAGATGTATCATAGAACGTATTGATAACACTGCTGATAAAAAGTCATTGACCTGTAAGTAATCACCACTGTCTAGGCCTTCACTTTTGCATTACATTCTTGGCTCATAAAAAGCGAGATACACAAGTTTCAAGTATGGTCTTAACTTTTAGACTGTTTCATAAAAACTGGTCTAAACGTAGAATCAGTCTACTCTGGCCTAAAAATCTAAGATAAATCATAAGAAGTACAATCAATTCAACTATTGTGCCTGTTTTATGATATTATAGAAAGACATACTTAACACATATGTCTAAGCTTCACACCAGTGAGTACTATGGATTTATATTCAACTAAAATACCGATATTTTTTTATCTTTTAACTGTTGGATATACTAGCTGTGATCAGCTTTAATGCTGCCTCAGCAGCAGATATCTTCCATTTATAGATAGATGCCATTTCTGAGCTTTCTTTTTCAGCCTTTTATAGATCTAAAGTAATTAGAAATGAGAAGTAGAATGATCAATGCTGTCAACATGAGATTTACTATGAGCTACTTTTTTTAACATCAGCACAGTTCAGCTTCCAATTCAAACTGTTCGAAAAAGGATAAAAGGACACACATGGCTGGAAAAATGGCGCATCAGTGTGCAGTGGTAACCTTGAATTGTAATTATGTGAAAAAAAGGCAAATGATGGAATACAGACTACTAGTACTTGCTAAATCAATCCCATTTTAAAATGTGTAACAATAGACACATTGAAGCAAGTGCAGATAAAACTAACAGGCATGTTCACAATGAGCCTCAATGGAATTTATTATTAGATGTATCTTTTTATGGTAAAATGGAAGATCTTCATTTATATCTAAACATGTTTTTACCTTTTTAGTAATCAATATGAGGCAGAAGTAAAGTGCTCTTCAAATACTGTATTTTAACTTGGCAGTTTCTAACAGGATACTGCAAGCTTAATGTTTTATTTTTGTTTTTCAAAACCTTTTTTTCTTCATTTCTGAAAGACATATAGAGCTACACATATCCACAGATAAAAAATCAATAAAGTCGATTCTTAGGCAACACAGACCAATATTAAATTCAGTCTAAATTTTTTTATATCATTCCTGCATACAAATTAACTTTTTAGAGGTAGTCTAGGACTATGCTCCCATAAACCCATCATGCTAGCTGGATCGATCTCACTCTGCAGGGCTTCTTGCTTAAAAGCTTTCAGTGTAACCAGCCTTACTGTCTGCCACGTCCCCTTGGGTAACTAGGGGTAACTGACTATTGTTAATTACCCCATAGCAGCTTGATTAGACATGCTAGACATTCAAGCTGCAGAGTTAGATTGATCCAATTAGTAAGATGGGTTTATGGGTACACTCTCTTAATCAATTAAAATATCAACAACAACTCTAAGACTGCATCAACAAAATGTTGAACCAAAATGTCAAAAGTCAGCCAGGAGAAATGCCATCCTACGTCACTGGGATATAACTGGTAACTATAAACAAAAAATTTATCATTATGTAGTTGCGTCTTTTGATATAATTTTATCTCTATCAACTCTATCCTCTCAACTATTAACCACTTACAAAAAATTACCTAAAACATTTTGGTTGAAAATTTATTGCCAATATATGCTTGTTACTATAACACCAACAATCTAGATGAAGACTGGATATTTTTTTTAAAAAATATTTAATATAGACACTCACTAAAAACACTCATCTTAAAACCTCACTACAAATTGATTTTGTCAAATGCTGAATGTAATTTACTTTAATGCAACCCACAGATATTTTTTAAAAATAAATCTGAGGAGTGAGGAAATGGGGGATTAAACCCTGTTTTGGTTTAAATCTTAATA